GGGTGGGGTGGGGTGGGGTGGGGTGGGGTGGGGTGGGGTGGGGTGGGCCTCTTTTGAGAGCAATCCTGCCTGCGTGAGGGGTCCCCGGTTTTCCCGTTCCCCTTTCTCTTCTCCCTCTACCACCACCCCACACACACCGCCCTCTCCCAACTCGCAGTCCCTCCGTTTGGGCGATCTGATCTACCGCTGGCTGCAGGTGATGGGGAGGGGGGGGGAGGGGGAGGGGGGAAAGGTGGGCCATCTGCCTGTATGCTGTCTGCCTGTCTGCCTGTCCGCCTTCGTACATCGCCTGCCTGAGCGACCCTCAGCCTCTGCTGCACGCCCTCACCCCGTTCCCAACATCACTTCATTCGCATCGCTGCGGCTCTCAAACGTCACGACGTAGTGGTAACAACCCCCCTTACCCCCCAGGCCCAGGTATGGTGCCGCCCGCTGGCTCTGCTGATCGGGCCTATGGCTTCCGTCATGGAACTGGACGGCGAGGGGCCCTTCATGACCATGAGCGAGCAGGAACAGGTAAACTGGTTGTTGAGGAGGAGATGGAGGGGAGCTGGAAGGGCCTTAGTGTGCCACCCGAGCAGCGTTGATCTGGTCAGGTCTGATTTGGGTTTCAAGTAGCCGCTGCAGCACACAGCACACAGCGCCTCGCGCCTTGCGCCTCGTCTCTCACCCCGTCTCTCGCCTCGCCTCGCGCCTCGCCTCCTGTCCTGTCCTCTCCGCAGCCATCTCTGTGTTTTCAATCATCCTAAGGGCTCCTAAAACCGCCTAAAAAAATAAACAAAACCCTCAGGTTGCGTGGGACACCTGCCGCTCGTGCCTGTGTGAGGGGTACACGGAGCTCGCCGACGTGGCCCTGGGGGAGACACCGAAGGCCCCCGTTGCGGACATGGGTGTACGACGATTTCGTGATGTAGTGTCGTACCTTGAAGACCGTCTGGCGGCGCAGCTAGCGCGTGAATACGACGGGGACGGTGGCTCCTCTTCCTCCTGCTCGCTGCTTGATGATAGCCCGGCTCGTTCACTGGTGTTGGCGGTGGTTTCGGAGGGGCTTCGGTTGGCGTTACGACTGGGGATGGGTGCAGGGGGACCGGGGCAGATAGTGGTGAGAATGGGCGGCGAGGGGGAGCCAGAGGCGGCGGTGGAGGGGATTGTGGAGGCGGCGATTTCCGCAGCGGCGGCGATGACGACAGTGGCAGTGGCGGCACCTCGCGGCGGCGGCGGCGGCGGCGACGACGGTCCGTTCAGGCCTGGCGGCTGTCATGCCATGATGCCAACACAAGCTGAGACGACGGCCGTGGTACCGGCGGCGGTGACGGCGCCCCCAGCGGCGGCGACGGCGGCGGCGGCGGCGTCCACGCCGGGATTCGAACTCTCCCCTGTAGGTGGTGAAGTTCGCTGTAGCCGTTCCGGTGGCGGCAACGACGGCGGCGGCGCTTGCGGCAACAGTCAGGGCGAGGCCACAACACGGCTATCGGCGCAGCCGGAGGGTGTAGCCGACCCCACTACTGCTGCCGCCGCGGCGGCAGCTGCAGTCCTCGACGCTGCCGCCACCGGTGGCGCTGGAGCTTCTTATGCCGCTCCTCCGTGGTCACACACGAGTGCTACTGCTGCAACTGCTGCTGCTGTTGCTACTGCTGCTGCTTCCAGCGGAGAGGCGCTTCCGCTACTGCCGACGCCGCCGGCTGTTGCCGCCACCGCCGCGAACCGATGGGTAGTCACACCCGGAGTGTGCTGGCGTCGGCGCGCGGTGGGGCCCGGCGGCGTCGGCGGCTCCGGCGGCGTCAAGTTGTCGGTGCTAGAGGACACGGTGGTTGCAGTGCAGCTGCGGGCAGCCTGCTGCTCGGTTCGCGCTACAGTGCTGCCGTCGACACCGCCGCCACTGCCGCTGCCGCTACCGCCGCCGCCGCCGCCGCCGCCACTCCCGCAGCAGCTGCTATCGCATTGAGAACAAGGCGGCAGCGGTGGAGGGGGCAGCGATTCGGGACATTGGAAAATTGGTGCAGGATGCAGGGCGGCTGACGGCGCGCTGGGCATGGGAAGGGCGGCGCAAGTTACGAGCTGGAAGGGGCAGGAGAGGGAGAGGGGAAGAGCGGACTCTTGGGTTTTGGGGTGTGTGTGTGGGAATAGGGGGATAGAGAGATGAGCCTAGGCCATGATAGTGGCGGAGGAAGAGGGGCTAGGCCACCTGCACTGCCACAGCGACGGGCCCATTATCAATAGCAGCAGTAGAAGCAGCAGCAGCAGCCTTGGCAGCACCGACTGCAACAGTCAGCGAGGGTTGATAAGAGGGTCTGCCAACCATGACAGATAGATAGATAGACAGACAGACAGGCAGACAATTTCAACAACGGCAGCATAGATCTGGGATAGCTGACAGGATAGGCAGTAGCAGCAGCACAACGGCGGTAGCAGCAGTGGCAGCATCCGCGGCTGCGGACAACTACACCGGCAGCCCGGTGAAACTGGGTATTGTATCATGGTAAGGTCACTGAGGCAGGGGAACCCCTCCCTTCTTCAAGGCTGGCTGGCTGGCTGGCTGGCTGGGGACATCCTCCACTTGGCCAGTTTTAATCCTTTTGGCGCGCTGAGGCCGACCTGGTCGAGGGTGACATGGCTTTACGCTAATGCTTCTGCTTTGCAGCGCAGAATCTGGGTCCAATGTCCTCAACGAACACGTCCGGCTTAGCAGGTCGGGTGCCCCATCCGAGACGGTGGTCATACCTGGAAGCTTGCTCACAATTATGGTTAGCTGAGAGTCTCAAGAGTTCTAATGAGCTGTTGCTGTGTTGGGTTGGGTTGGGTTGGGTTGGGTTGGGTTGGGTTGGGTTGGGTTGGGTTGGGTTGGGTTGGGTTGGGTTGGGTTGGGTTGGGTTGGGTTGGGTTGGGTTGGGTTGGGTTGGGTTTGTGCGCAGTTCCGACATGCCGCGATGGCGATGACGACGACGAGAAACTGGTTGAGAAGCACCAGCAGCACACACGTAGGAGCTGGAGGAGGGGCTCCTTCCCTCCTTCCTTTCTTTCTTTCTTTCAGGTTCTCCGTCAGCTGCGTGAGGAATTGCAGTCTGTTCCCCGCTTCAGGGATTTGTTTTTCGTACGGTTCATGATGTCCATTCCATGTCAAGCAGCTTCATGCGGGACGTGATGATGTTTAGCCCGACTCGAAATGTTCGGGCCTGGGTACCTCTCTGGGCTATTTGGTCAGATGTGGTGATGTGAATTTGGATAATGCTCAGACAGCCGTCTCTTCATTCTTAGTGGGCTATTTGTATGTTGGGTCTAACGTAAGTAACAGAAGCGATGTGCGCTGGAAAGATGCGCTGCAGTCCATGGCATTGCCCGTACAGGTGTCGCTGTGTTTTTTTTTGTTGTACATGGTTTAAGTTGGCCGTATAGGTCTATAGGAGCCACAGGTTCTGTTCTGCGGTGCGTGCTGTAACGCACAGCAGACATCTTGTTGCATTACAGGCTACGGTACCGTCATCCAAGACGACGTTAATTGATGTGCGTTTTGGCAATTGGCTGCAACGCCATAGGTCGGTTGGTGGTTAGCCGTTTGTCGGTTGGGTGGTGGGTAAATATGCCGTACGGTACGGTTGCCGCCTGGCGGATTTTGCTAGAGAGAAATCCATCGTTGGTAATGGACAGTGACGCGTCGGAAAGCCGATCGGGGTTGGCTGGCCGAGACCTGTGGGGGCGAGGATGTCGTTGTGGGCGAAATGTGGGTCGTGTTGCGGCGGCTTAGGTGCAAAAGCGCTTCCGCTGTTGGTTTGCTTTGGTAGGTGCGTTTTGGTTTAACCAGAACACCCGAGAAGCTGCCTGCCTGCCAGTTGAGCATGGGCAGTTGTGCATGAGAATCTCGTAGTTGATGTGCATATTCGTTTATACGACAGTAAGGCTGCCATGGGTTTTAAACAGCACAAAAACGTCATCCTTGACCAAATGCTTGGACCCGGAATGCGGATAGTTCGCTAGACATGGAATCACCATTTAAGAAGTAATGCAGTGATTCATACTTGACGGCCTATGTCATAAGCCATGAACCCATGTCCTCATAATGACCTGAGCAACTGTATTATGGCTGAACTACTGCAGGATGCCCAGGGATGCCCAGCCTTATCACAGCTTGAAAGGCACGCGGAAGCCGAAGCTCTCAACGTACGCCGTGTAACGCCCAACAGAAAACTATGACGCATAATTTTAGCTCCTCGGTGACTTTAGTGACTTGTTCCAGAAGCGATAGCTTGCCCATGATTGCTGGGAGTGCATCGAGGTGATGGATCTTTTGGTATACGCTCTTCAGCATAGTCGTTTGATCCATTGTGTCACCCATGGCTGTGTCCTCTGCCTGTGGCGACGCTGAGGGTTCGCTGCCCTCGTCACTGGTTTCCTGATGTGTGTACAGTGTTCTAACTGGTGTGCTATCGCTCTGCTTGGCGGATTTTTGGACTCGAGCCGCAATCTCGGAAATGGTCTTCGGCGGAGTCGCCTTTTTCTTTTTAGCCATACAGCTTTCAAAGATCAGGACGTTCGCGGCTCAATGCGACTCAATGCGACTCAATACGACTCAATGCGACTCAATGCACTCAATGCGGCTCAATGGGGTGAGAGAGCGCGGTAAAACTGCCCCACGGTTCATAATTGCTCCCTGATGTGATGGG